AGTCGATATCACCGTGAAACGGGCGCGCCATTCGGAGGCGCGCCGGCACAGCCCTCGGGTCAGGCCTCGGTGGTCAAGTTGCCTAAGATCCCGCTACCGCAGTTTTCCGGCGATTTTACGTTGTGGCCTTCCTTCATCGCGTTGTTCAACGCGTCGATACACAACCAGCAGATTTCCGCGATAGAGAAATACCAGTATCTGCTGGCTTCACTCAAGGGGGAACCACTCAACGTGGTGAAAAACCTGCCGTTTTCCGATGAGTACTATCTGATCGCTTACGACTCGCTGGTCGATCGATACCGGAATAAGAGAAGGTTAGCGGACCATCACTTGAATTCGATAATCGAGGCAAAGCCATTGAAGGCGGAGACGGCCGAGGCTCTTCACCACTTATTAGATACGTTTACCGAGAACACGCGCGCGCTCGCATTGATGAAGTTCCCTACCGATTCATGGGACTTTATCCTACTGAAGTTTTTGTTAGACAAGCTTCCTCGTTCCCTTCGGGAAAAATTCGAGTCGGCTCACCGGGCTGAGGAGATACCGCGATATACACAACTCACGACATTTCTAGCGGAGCATTGTCGGGTTCTCGAGGCCGTCGCGGGCCCGTCCTCCAAAACCAAGTCCACACCGGTCTCTTCGTTCGTGACTAACGCGGCCGATTGCCCCGTTTGTAAGGAGTCTCACTACGTGTCGAAGTGCTCCCAGTTTTTAAAACTCTCGCCGAGGGAGAGGCAGGCTAAGGCTCGCGACTTGAGATTGTGCCTCAACTGCCTGCGCTCGGGGCATGGCATGAAAGACTGTCCGTCCGCGTGGGCATGTCGGTCCTGCGGCACAAAGCATCATACGCTTCTGCATTACGAGCAGAGCTCTAATACTACTCCTAAGCCCGAACCCATTAGCGCGACTCCTGTCGAACCGGACGCCGTACCCGCTCCTCAGTCGGAGGATGCGCCGATTGTAACAATGACTAGCCTGGCCAATAGAATCGTCCTCCTGTCCACCGTACGAGCCGAGGCGATAGACGCGCGTGGCAATGCGTTCCCCGTACGCATATTGCTGGACAGCGCGAGTCAGGCCAACTTTATTACCGAGGGCTGCCTCCGGAAGGGCGGCTTTCGTCGCACCAAACACAGTGCAACCGTGTTGGCGATAAACGAAGCCAGGGCGGCCACGACGAGGGGCCTCACCTCCCTCGTGATCCGCGCGCGCGGTCGCGACGACACTCGGTTCTCGATAGAGGCTACGGTCCTCTCGCGCATAACCTCGCCGCTGCCTAATGACAAGGTGGAGGTCCAGCCGTGGAAACACTTGAAGGGATTGCCGCTCGCGGATCCCGAATATTTCGTGCCCGGCGGTGTTGACATCCTCCTGGGGGCGGACTCGTTTGTGTCGGTGCTACGGGAGGGCCGTCGTAAGGGGGAAAGGGGAGAACCCGACGCCTTCAATTCAGTCTTCGGATGGGTTCTGACGGGCGCGGTATCCCCATCAGTCCAGGCAGCGCCCCTGAGGTCATT